TGAAGTCGGAGGCTTAACTGACTGAGCCACCCAGGCGCCCCTAACTTTTTTTTTAAAACCTTGTAATAGCTTCTGGCCAAGAAACCTCATGCCACCCACCTAATTCCTTCCCTCAAACAGCCCTTTCATTAAGTCATTCCACTGTTTGGAAACCTTCAATATCTTATTTCTCGTCTTATGGTCATATCCAACCGACCCCTCGCTCCCACCCCCAGCTTTTCAGGCCTTGTCTGACCTCCCCAAATCTTTGGTTCTTCTCCAGTCATCTTGGTCTATCCACCACACGTGTGAGTGTCAGGCTTATTCCCACTGCTGTACCTTTAATGCCACTTACTCTCCACACCTGGCCTATCCTGACTAGAAGCTGGAGTGGGCAGCTCCCTGCCTTCCTGGCATCCATCCCATCCACCTCCAAAGCCCAGTGCAAGAGTCAGCTCTTTCTTGAGAACTTGCCTGATCACATCAGCCCTTATTCATCACCTTCTCCAAATTCATGTAATGCTTACAACTTCTCTCTTACAACTTAATGGCTAATCACTTTGAGTTCTATTAGTTCTTTCATTTGCATTAGTTCTGTTGCCCTGAGTTTCCTCTACATTTCCCGCAAGCAGAGTCCAGGCGTTGTCTTTTGGCATCTCCTGTAACATCTGGCACAGTGTGGAGCATTAGGTCAGCACAATCAAAAATAATTAGTAATTGATGAAGTGTTTGCATCGTGGAACCGTGCACCTGCTGCCTGAGTGCCCTGCATTTGGATGTTTGGAGAAGACTGAATATATAGGTAGATCAATAGATAGAAGACCTGGTCTCCATTTGGGGGATGCTTACAGTCTAGACTGGGGACCCGTAGAGCCACTGTCACAGGTGCAGAGAAATACAGCTGAAGAGTGTGTTCTGACAGCGTTAACCAGGCTTGCTGTCATGGAAGCTGTGAGCTTTGAGGTGTGGCATTTGAGGGAGAGGAGGGGTGAAAATGCTCAGAGGCAGAAGGGAATGCTCACCAGTACCCAGGGCTCTTTGTCCTTTCCTGAGCCCCGAAGGTGGGTCATCTGGCTGCCTTGGAAATCCCTTTAATAAAGCTGGTCTCCAGGACGGGAGAACTTGGGATTCTCAGAGAGTCATCTGGCCTGGCTTAATGTCTCCATGCCATTACTCCAGGCTGAGGATGTCACCTTCCTCTACCACCCCTGTGCCCACCCTTGGCTGAAGCTCCAGCTTGCCCTCCTGGCCCACGTTTGTGTGGCCCAGCCCTCACTGGCCCCGGACTCCAGCCTTACTCAGGAGCGGGTAAGCAGTTGATGAGAGGTCGTTGTTTCGCACTGGCAGAGGCTGCAGCCCCATGTGCAGGAAAGGAAAATTCAGGGACTTCCTCTTGCTGGCTCCCCACCTTCAACTTAGTTCTCCTTTCCTAGCCCTTAGTGCTGGCAGCATGTGGGGTGGTGCTGGAGATGGCATGGATAGAGCCAGCCTGGGCTGCCCACTGGCTGAAGAAGCGGTGGCGGCGGCGGAGGAGGCTGAGGAAGGAGAAGGCATGGTTCTGCTCTGAAGGTCTTTCTGGGTCTTCTCCCTTGGTGCCAAGGCCAGGTAGAGGGAGGCTGTGCCGGAGCGGGTGTCTGCAGGTGAGGGGTGCTGGGCTTGGTTGGTGGTGGGGTCCTTGGGTTATCTGGGCAGGAAAAGGGTGACTGCTGTCTCTCTCCCCAAAGGCCCCAGCTTTGGCTTTTACCCTGCGGAGCTGGCGGCCCCCAGGTGTGGAGGAGGCAGCTGGAGGGTCCAGGCACCTCTCTCCTGGAGGTGCCAAGAGGCGTGGGCTGCGGGCCGCTCTCGGTCTCCAGCCCACGCCCTCAGCCCCGAGGCTCCCCCCTGCCTCTCCACGGAGCTCGGAGGCCAAGCAGCCCATGCCGGCAGCCCGGGGTGAGGGGAGTGATGCCCCATCTGTGCCCACTCTCCCCTTGATGCATGAGGGGCCCAGAGGCAATGCCAGCTCCAGGATAGAGGCTCAAGTGCTCAAAGGGCAAAGCAGCCCAGGGGGCTGTACCTGTCCAAGTGAGGCTTCCCCAGCCCCTCGGGCAGCAGTGCCCCCGCGGGTAGCCCGGGGCCCTACCCCGCGCACGGAGGAGGCTGCTTGGGCGGCCATGGCCCTGACCTTCCTGTTAGTGCTGCTCACTCTGGCCACGCTCTGCACACGGCTGCACCGAAACTTCCGACGGGGGGACAGCATCTACTGGGAGCCCACAGCGGACAGCCAGGACACGGTGGCTGGTGAGAAGTTAACCCTCCTTACCCACCCAACCCAGCCCTGGACCTCCAGGGCATCCCTGCCGATCACCGACCCTTCCCCACCCTGCCC